TGAGGAGGAAGAGAAAGAGAAAGAGACTGATTTTGCTGTCTCAGGGGTGGCAGAAGAGGAAGAAAATCTGTGTATAACCCAGAGTAGACTTGTGCTGTTCGAGGGTCAGCTGTACACAGCAGATACACAAACACTTATAATACAGTTGAAAATTCTTCAGCCATACAAAAAAGAAGTCCTGCCATTTGCAGCAACAGAAATTAACCCTGCGTCAGAGGTAGACAAATACCGTGTGAGCTCACGTGTATGTGGAATCCACAGAAATCAAACTGTCACTGGAGGATTGTCCAGGTTCTTGGCGTGTTGAACAAAGAATTGAATGACAGAGCCGGGCGCGGTGGCTGACGCCTGTAACCCCAGCACTTTGGGAGGCCGAGGTGGGTGGATCACCCGAGGTTGAGAGTCCAAGACCAGCCTGACCAACACGGAGAAACCCCCGTCTCTAGTAAAAGTAGAAAATTAGCCGGGCGTGGTGCTGCATGCCTGTAATCCTGGCTACTCAGGAGGCTGAGGCAGGAGAATCACTTGCACCTGGGAGGCGGAGGTTACGGTGAGCTGGGATCGCGTCATTGCACTCCAGCCTGGGCGACAAGAGCTAAACTCTGTCTCCAAAAAAAAAAAAAAGAATTGAACAAAATGCACAAATTAAGTAACAAAAGAAAATGCGAGGAAGGAAAAAGCAACAGAAGAACGGAGTAAAAAAAGCACAGATTTAAAAAATGTTTAAGTTCTGGGTGGGGTACACGTGCAGGATGTACAGCTTGGTTACGTAGGTAAACGTGCTGCACTTATCAACCCGTCACCTAGCTATTGAGCCCAGCATGCATTAGCTATTTTTCTTTCTTTTTCCCCCCGATTTTCTTGCCAGGCTGGAGTGCAATGTTCGATCTCAGCTCACTGAAACCTCCGCCTCTCGGGTTCAAGCGAGTCTCCCGCCTCAGCCTCCCAAGTAGCTGGGATTACAGGCATGCACCACCCATGCCCAGCTAATTTTTGTATTTTTTAGTAGAGATGGGTTTTCTCCATGTTGGTCAGGCAGGTCCCAAACTCCTAACCTCAGATGATCCACCCACCTCGGGCTCCCAAAGTACTGGGATTACAGGCGTGTGCCACCGTGCCTGGCCCTGCTTTAGCTATTTTTCCTGATGCTCTCCTTCCGTCCATCCCCATCCACCCCGAAAGGCCCCACTGTGTGGTTTTCCCCTCCCTGTGTCCATGTGTTCTGATTGTTCAGCTCCTACTTACAAGTGAAAACATGCGGTATTTGGCTTTCTGTTCCTGTGATAGTTTGCTGAGGATAATGGCTTCCAGCTCCGTGTCCCTGTAAAGGATGTGATCTTATTCCTTTCGATGGCTGCATAGTATTCCATGGTGTATATGCACCACATTTTCTATATCCAGCCTATCATTGATGGGCACTTGGGTTAATTCCATGTTTTTGCTATTGTGAATAGAAAAGCACAGATTTTATCAAAAACAGTTCAGAGTGAGAGTGGAATTAAGCCAGCAGTTCAAGAGCCTCCCCAATTAGGCTTTTTATTAAGCTAGAAAAAACCCTGCAACACCCCTAGGCACCCCTCAGAGGCCTCCGATTGGTTACATGCTATGAAGGATTGGGCTCACGACCAATCAGAGGCCATAGTGGAGACCTGGCCCGCAGTCAGTCAGAGGCTGATATGACTTGTTGTCATGGGAGCGAGGATGTGACCTGGATGCTACACCTGCTGTTCTCCTGCCTGTAGGAACCGGATGCACCTGTTGAACCCCGTTCCCTTAATCCCCTATTCTCCTGCCACAAAACCCATGGAAACAAAGCAGAATTAGAACCGTGGTTGCCGGGGGCTGGGAGGAGAGAAAAATGGGGAGATGTCAGTCAACGGGGAGAAACTTACAAGATCAGGTCAGCGTGGCATGGTGGCTTACACCTGTGATCTTGGCACTTTTGGAGGCCAGGACTTTGAGACCAGCCTGGCCAACACAGTGAGATTCCATTTCTTTTCTTTGTTGAGATGGAGTCTCACTCTGTCATCCAAGTTGGAGTATGGTGGCACAATCTCGTCTCACTGCAACCTCCTCCTCCTGGGTTCAAGGGATACTCTGGCCTCAGCCTCCCGAGTAGCTGGGATTACAGGTGCACATCACCATGCCCAGCTAATTTTTTGTATTTTTAGTAGAGACAGGTTTTCAGCATGATGGCCAAACTGGTTTCGAACTCCTGACCTCAGTTCATTTCCTGCCTCGGCCTCCTAAAGTGCTAGGATTACAGGCATGAGCCACTGCATTTGGCCTCTTTTTTTTTTTTTTGAGATGGAGTTTGCTTTTGGCATCCAGGCTGGAGTGCAATGGTGCGATCTCAGCTTACTGCAACCACTGCCTCCCAGGTTTAAGTGATTCTCCTGCCTCAGCCTCTCTAGTAGCTGGGATTACAGGCGCCCACCACTATGTCCTGCTAATTTTTGTATTTTTAGTAGCGACCACGTGATCACAGGCGTGAGGCACTGTGCCCTGCTGTGAGATCCCATTTCTACACACACACACACACACGCACACACAAATTAAAACATTAGCTGGGCGTGATGGCACATGCCTGTGGTCCTAGCTACTTAGGAAGCTGAAGTGGGAGGATCGATTAAGCCCAGGAGATTGAGGCTGCGGTGAGCTGTGATTGTGCCACTGCCCCCCAGCCTGGGAAGCAGAGCGAGACCCTGTCTCAACAAACAAACAACAATCAGTTCTGGCAGTCTACTGGCCAGCACGGTGACTGTGGCTAACAATACTGTATCGCATGCCTGAAATTTGTTAACAGGGTACATCTTAAGTGTTTCCATCACACATACAAAAAGAGAACGATGGAGGTGGCCGGGCGTGGTGGCTCATGCCTGTAACCCCAGAACTTTGGGAGGCTGAGAACGGCAGATCACCTGAAGCCAGGAGTTTGAGATTAGCCTGGCCAACATGGTGAAACCCTGTCTCTACTAAAAATACAAAAATTAGCCAGGCATGAGGGCACGCACTTGTAATCCCACCTACTTGAGAGGCTGAGGCAGGAGAATCGCTTGAAACCTGGGAGGTGGAGGTTGCAGTGAGCTGAGATTGTGCCACTGCACTCTAGCCTGGGTGACAGAGCGAGACTCCATCCATCTGAGAGAGAGAGAGAGAGAGAGAACGAGAAGTATGGAGATGAGGGAACAGGTTGACCAGTGGATTTGTAGTAATCATTTCAGAATGTATACCTATATCAAAACATCATGATATTTTTGGTAAATATACTCAATTTTTATCTTTCAGTTATGCCTCAAAAATCTGGAAAAGGCTGGGCGTGGTGCCTCATGCCTGTAATCCCAGCACTTTGGGAGGCCAAGGTGGGTGGATCACCTGAGGTCAGGAGTTCGAGACCAGCCTGGCCAACATGGCAAAATCCCGTCTCCACTAAAAGATACAAAAATTAGCTGGGTGTGGTGGCAGGTGCCTGTAATCCCAGCTAGTTGGGAGGCTGAGGCAGGAGAATTGCTTCAACCTGGGAGGTGGAGGTTTTAGTGAGCCTGGGAGACAGGGCAAGACTCCATCTCAAAAAAAAAAAATCTGGAAAAGAAACCCCTATAGAGTAGAGGAGAAGGAAGCAAGTCGGGCAGAGGGAGAAATGAGCTGAGATATAGACCAACCGCAGCCTCAGCTGAGTCTGCAGAGACTTCGGAGGCTGCAGTTGCCCTGGAGGGGCCCTCAGCACAGCCAGGATGGTGAGAACTTTATACCTAGCAGGCTGCCCTGGGAAAAGGTGTGACTCAGGCGAGGGACTCACTGCACAAACGCCTCTGTTGGATGCCTTATTTATTTATTTATTTTTGAGACAGAGCCTCACTCTGTCATCCAGGCTGGAGTGCAGTGGTGTGATCTTGGCTCACCACAACCTCTGCCTCCGGGTTCGTGATTCTCCTGCCCTGGCCTCCCGAGTAGCTGGGGTTACAGGTGCCTGCCACCATGCCCGGCTAATTTTTTTGTGTTTTTCGTAGAGATGGGGTTTCACCATGTTGGCCAGGATGGCCTCTACCTCCTGACCTCGTGATCCACTGGCCTTGGCCTCCCAAAGTGTTGGGATTACAGGCATGAGCTACCGTGCCCGGCCTTATTTATTCATTTTTGAGACAGAGCCTCCCTCTGTCGCCCAGGCTGGAGTGCAGTGGTGCAATCTCGGCTCCCTGCAACCTCTGCCTCCTGAGTTCAAGCAATTCTCGTGCCTCAGCCTCTCGAGTAGCTGGGTCTACAGGTGTGCACCACCACATCTGGCTAATTTTTGTATTTTTAGTAGAGACAGGGTTTCACCATGTTGGCCAGGCTGGTCTCGAACTCCTGACCTCATGTGATCCACGTGCCCTGGCCTCCCGAAGTGTTGGGATTATAGGCGTGTGCCACCGTGCTGGGCCTGGATGCTTTAATGACCTTCCTTTCTGTCACACAAAAGCCTTCGAATTAGGCTTATTGGGTCCATTTTACTGAGTAAGATGACTTGCTCAACCTCAGGCTCTTTATTTTTGTTGTTTTAATGTTAACGGGAACCACTTAACATTAAAGTTCGTTCTCTCCCTCTCCCTCTTCCGAAGGAAGAGAATGGTCCTCAATGGGGAATGTCAGTTGCAGCAAAGCAACTCCAGGAGCTGGCTTCTTGTTCTGGAGAGTGCCCCATGCCTCCTCTGCCTGGTTTCCTGTGCTTTACACGTCCAGAGAAGCTTCTGTAGCGATGAACCATAGAAACGGTGCCTCCAAGTGTCATCTTCAATTTCATGCTCTGAATTGAAAGTATAATCTGTGGTCGGGCACAGTGGCCCACGCCCGTAATCCTCGCACTTTGGGAGGCAGAGTCAGGCAGATGGCTGGAGCCCAGGAGTTTGAGACCAGCCTGGGAAACATGGCGAAACCCTGCCTCTACTAAAAACACAAAAATGAGCCGGGTGTGGTGGTGCACAATTGTAGTCCCGGCTCCTCGGGAGGCTGAGATGGGAGGATCAGTCTGACCCGGCAGGTCCAGGCTGCAGTGAGCCCAGATTGCACTACTAGACTCCAGCCTGGGAGTCAGAGGGAGACCCTGCCTCAGAAAGTGTCATCTTCAAACTCAAGCTCTTCGTGGGGGATGGGGCTGAAATCTGAGTCCGGTTCTGGCCGATACCAGTGCGACACCCACACACTTGCTGGTGTCCTGTTTCCATGGAGAACTCTTCACTTTGGAAGCATCCCTGACGTCTTCTTTTCCAACAAAAGCCCAGAGCCCGGGCCCTTCGGGGGCTGTCCCTTGTGGATCTTGATTTCTGAGTACTCGGTGGTGCTGGGGGCCTCCTGGTGCGCAGGCTCCCGAGGCCTCAGCCCTTGGAAGCTGAGGGAGGCGTAGTGGAGCTCCTGCTCCTCCCCGGGGTTGGGGGTGGCTGCACCTGGGGGCGGGCAGTCTTGGGAGCTGCCTGCTGGGCATTTGTGCTGGTGACCCTGAATGCAGCGGAGAAAGGGGTCAAATTAGGACCATGGGGGCTGAGAGAGGGCAAGGAGGATGCACGAGAGGACCTGGAAGCTAAGCGTTTCCTCTTTCACTTACTCCACAAACACTGGCTGGGCCCTCGTTCATTCACTCGTTCAGCAAATATTTGAGAACAAAAATGCCTGGCTCTTGGAAATTCACTGCCAGACTCAAAAACCTCACCACAATCACTGGGGAGACACTATTATCCCCATGATCAGATGGAAAGATGGAGGCTGAGTAAATACCCCAAACCCACACATCTAATCAGTGGTCAGGCCAGGATTCCCGTCCAGGTCTCCCTGAGTCCAGCACCTGCTGCCTTAGGGAACAGCTCCCCTGTGCCAGCCCCTGGATATTCCTGGAAGAACTAGGCAGACACCATGCCTGACCTCAGGCAGCTTGCATTGTGGAAGAAGAAGCAGACATTAAAGCTACAGTCGGCCGGGCATGGTTGCTCACACCTGTAATCCAAGCACTTTGGAGGCCAAGGCGGGCGGATCACCTGAGGTCAGGAGTTCAAGACCAGCCTGACCAACATGGTGAAATCCCGTCTTTAAAAAAAAAAAAAAAGCTATAGTCAATCAAGTTAGTATCTAATTGCAAATTGTGAATGGATGCCCAGGAAGGAGGAAGTGTGAGAAAGACAGGGATTTGCTGGGACCTGGACTGACCCAAGGGGCCTCTGAGGATCTACTCAGACACAGCTGTGAAATTGAGCTAGGCGCCAAGGAAACAAAGGTCATTGTAGGTAAAGGATTCACCTGCCCAGAGAAAGGTTTGGCCCTTTGTGCCCAGGTGCGGGGAGGGAACCTCTAACTTAGAGCCTTGCAGCATCCTGCTGGTAGGGGCATCCCTGTTCACCCAGGACCGCAGGCCATGCCACTAGTCTATGCCAGCACTGGGACTTACAGCGGGGCCTACGTGGCGTCAGTTTGGCTCTGCAAGGGCTGAAGAACTGAGGTCATCAGCAGGTGCCCTGTGCCTGCGTGACCCATCCCCAGCGAACGCGGGACCCAGCCTCAGGGGAGCTTCCCGGGTGGGCAGTGCGCCAACGCTCCAAGCTTCTGTCACACACCCTTGCCAGGAGAATTGGGTGCTGTTCCCGCAGCTCCAGTGGGAAAGGACACCCAGAAGCTGCGGATTTGGTCTCTCCTGGACCTGCCCTGTGCGCCTCTCCCCATCCCTGATTTTCATCTGTTATCGGTCACTGTATAAACTGTCACCACCAGGATCTCAGCTCTCAGTGAGTCCTAGGAGGCTATCCAACCTCGGAGTGCTCATGAGGACCCCACAACCACAGCTGCTGTCAGAAGTGAGGACGGGGACCCCAAGATTTGGAGTAGACAATAGTTATTTGGGGAAAGGTCTCTCTGGCATCCTGTGTTGAGGAGGAGAGATAGAAGGGAGGACAAAGGAGTCAGGGGTCCAGGGGGAAAGGAGGAGCAGGAGGTGGAGGGTCCATTGGAGCTGAGCACAGGTAGGGCGTGGACAGGACTGGGGGGGCCCTTGGCTCTGGGAGGGTATGTGGCAGCAGTGGGGAGAGCCCCTCGCGGATCATGGGCTGCATTGATGGGGACCCAGAAGCAAAACCTTATTCGGGGCACGATGATTCTGCAAGTCATCAAGAGGCATGGCCATGGCCGTCCAGGAGAGGGGAAAGGCCAAGGCCCCAGAGGACAGAGGCTGGGCTCTCAACCGGGAGATGGGCCCCACGGCAGAGGGCGTGTCCTGCTCAGCGGCTGCCATCTGGGTGGCTTCCTTCCTGCAGGTCTTCACCCTGAGGGAGGAGGCAGGGCCCTTCAGCCTCCAGGCTGGCCCAGGGCCCGGGGCGACTGCTGCCCCCACGGCTTAGTGGAGACTAGAAGGCTGTGGGGCCGGTGGGGTGGGGACAGGTCCACCAGGGGACTTTTTTATTTTGAGATGATGTCTTGCTCTATCGCCCAGGCTGGAGTGCAGTGGCTCGATCTCTGCTCACTGCAACTTCCCATGGGATGACTTCCACGGTGAGATCTGGGGACCCTCACAGATGGCCTGGATCACCGTTCCGGAGCAGACTTCTGCTCTGATCCTCTCACCCAACATGCAGTTCTTACACCCACTGCCCCACCCAGATTCCTGCAGCGGGGACTATCTGGGATTCTAGAACCCTCTCCCTTCCCATGCCCTACACTGTCAGCCCTCCTCAAGACAATGCTCACCTGAAGACGACGAGGCAGAAAGAGAGAGAGAGCAGGACAGCAATGCCAGCTCCCAGAGCGGCCCCCAGACCAAGTCCTCCCCTCCACTCCTGATTCCCTGCAGAGGAGTGGGGATTGGGATGATGCCCTCCCAGCCCTGAGACCCTCCTGCCCCTCCTCCCACAGACTTAAGAGCTCTGGGATTCTCCACCCCCACCTGCCACGGAGCAGGGACTGTGTTCCCATCCCTTCCTGCCATGCCCAGCCCCTCTCCCGACAACTTCATCTCTCTAGGATCCTGTCTCTTTCTCCCTGAGCCTCGGCCCCCCACAGCCCTCTCACCTTGTGGCAGCTTGAGGACAGAGCTGCTCTGGGCCCCGTGGACATTCCAGGCCTCACAGCTGAGCCTGAGGTGGGAGCTGAGTACCCCTCGGAGGCTCAGGGAGCTGTTGGCCCAGGGCCCGGCTGAGCTGGGGGTGACCTCGAAGGAGTCCCGGCTGCTGTTCCCCTCCAGCAGCTCCTCTCCAAGCCACCAGCGCAGAGAGGGGGCCGGGCTGGCCTGGGAGGAGCAGCTGCAGTGCAGACTCTCAGCCTCCCAGGAGCAGGAGGGGCCCAGTAGCTGTGGGGAGTCTGTGTGGAGGGAGGACAGGACTCAGCAGGGACCCCTTCCTGGGACCCAGGTGCCCCCTTTCCCCACTCACAGTGCACGGAGAGGCTGAGAGAGACATGCTGGGAGCCCAGTGGGTGCTGAGCGTGGCAGGTGAACTCTCCTTCGTGCTCCATTTGAACCTGAGGCAGCTCCAGGACCGCGGGGTCTGAGGGTGGGGAGGGGCTCAGGGTCTGTCCCCCCCGGGTCCAGCTCAGCCTGGCTGGGGGACTGCTGTGGGTGACACAGGCCAGGCGCAGGCTTTGGCCCTCCAGGACCGGGAGGGATGTGCCGTTCCCAAGGTTTTCCAGGACTAGAGAAGGAAGAGGCAGAATCAATGTGCAGCTTGGGGCACAGGGACCCTCCTGCATGGGGACAGATGCCTGGGCCCCCAGTTTAGCACCGAGAGGCCCTGGCTCCTCTGTCCCCTTTCCTACCTGTCCTGTTTGCTTGGGAAACCATCACTCTCAGGTTCTCTGGAGGATCTGAAATGGAGAAGGGACCGGCTCTAGATGGGCCAGGGGCTTCCCTCTGGGCAAAGGGAGCTGTCCTGGGAGACTGAGGTGGGGGAAGTGGGGGGATAGAAGGGCACAGCAGAATCACCCACTGAGTCTCAGACACAAACTGCATGAGTCTACACAGGTAAGAAGGTGGGTCCCCCCTAGGCCTGGGGTTCCAGGCCCCCTCAGCTCTGGAGCCCTGACTCTGCTTGTCTCAGTCCTTTCTTTGAACCAGTAGCCATAAGCTGGGGTAGACGCTGTCCAGTCCTTTTGGGAGTAGGACAAAGAGCAGGACACAGAGACACACAGGCCCTCGGGCACCGTCACTGACCTCTGCACTTGGATCCAGCCCCTGCGTCCCCACCCATCCTCCCCTCCCAGATGGACTCCGGGCCCCTGATGGGCACTCACACTGCACAGAGAGGTCCAGGGCTCGCTGCTGGGAGCCAAGCCTGTTCTCCGCTCGGCAGGTGTAGTGGCCTGAATCCCCGGCCTTCACCCGGGGAAGCTCCAGCCCCAGGGTTCTGGGGCCCCAGGGGTGGGACCAGGAGAGGACTCTGTCCTGCAGCACCCAGCTCAGCGTGGCGGGGGGCTGGCTGTCGGCAGCACAGAGGAGCCTCAGGAACTGGCCTTTCTGGGCTTCCAGATGTGTGAGATTTTCCTGGAGCTTCAGAGCTAGAGAGAGAGAGACAGAGAGAGAGAGAGAGAGAGAGAGAGAGGGAGAGAGAGAGAGAGAGAGAGAGAGAAACAGAGAAGGGCTAAGGAAGGAGCACATCCCCTCACCTCCATGAAAATGTTTCACTCCTAATAAGAGGACTGGCCTAGCCCCAGCCCGATGGCCCTTGGTACCTGGCGTGTTGTCACGGGAAATGCTGATAACAACGTCTCTGGGGGCGTCTGCAACAAGATGGTGAGCTGGCTTCAGGGAGGAACAATTGGTTCCTCACACCAGGAAAAAAGTTCCTCAGGGAAAAGAAAGTGGGACCATCCAGGGAAGACAAGTGACAGCCAGTGCCAGGGCTCACGCGTGTGGACAGAGGACCAGACGCCATTCCCATCCCCTCCCAGGGCTGTGCTGGCTTCCCGGGACCCCATGGCTTCCTCTCCCTGGACCCTCATGAGCTGGGAGCCGCTCACTGCCCTGCTGGGCTCCACCTCCCCACCCCCCGGGGGTCTGTCTGCAGGCCCCACAGTCCCAGGCCACACTCACAGGCCACGCAGAGTCGGACGGTACTCTGTGTGCTCACACCCGTTCTAGAGAAGTCCACGTGGCAGGTGAGGTTGGTGTCGTGGTCCTGGGGTCTGGGCGTGAAGCTGAGCACTGAGAAGTGGGGGCTGCTTGGTCTGGTTCTTTTAGAAGAGAGGGCAGCCCCCGTCCAGGAGAAAGAAGGGGCTGGACACTTCTTGAAAGCCCAGTTAAACACACAGATGACTGTCACTGGCTGCCCAGGCTCCAGGGTCTCGGGGATGTAGACATCAGGCTTCTGAGTCAGGGCTGGGACAGAGACAGGGTGGGGGGTGCTAGTGCTGCAGGGGTCCCCGAGAGCCCTCTCTGCTCAGCCCATGCCCAGGGTCCCTCCCCAGTGTGAGAGGCAGGAGTTCCCACCCCATTCCATACCTGTTACTTTTAGATGGAACCCGTTAAAGTTGAATTTCACATAGCTTCCCCTCTCCACCCGAAAGTAGTACACTCCCGTGTCCTGCATCTGCGCGTCTCTGACCACCAGGGAGCAGCTCCCCTTGCCGGGGTCCCCCATGAGCTGGAATCGGTCCCGTGTGCTCATGTCCACCTCTTGATTTGGGTTGTTTGTGGCCACAAGAGCACGGGTATATGTGTTGGTCATTACTTTGAACCAGTAGCCATGAGCGGCAGTAGACTCATTCCAGCCATCCCGGGGGTAGGAGAGGTTGCAAGGCATGAAGACACACAGGCCCTCCTGCACCGTCACCAGCCTCTGCACTTGAAGACTGTAACTGGAGCCCTGGTTCAGGAACCCTGGGGAGATGCAGAGGCTCAGCGGCAACCCCAGCCCTTGCAAGGGAACCCCAGCTGCCGACCCCACTCACCCTCCCCCAGCATGGGCAGCAGCAGGGACAGCAGCAGCATCTCTGGACTCTGGGGCTGGGCCTGTCCTGAGACCATCTGGCTCCTGGGCTGGCCTGGCTGGGAAGGAAACTCCTCTGGAAGGAAGCCTGGTGGAGGGGCAGTGACCACTGGCAGAGGAGGAGCCTGGGGAACCGCAAGGCCCTGAAAGATCCCCTCCCAACTTCTCCTTTCTCAGGGAAAGCAGCAGGGCAGAGGGCATAAGGACCTGCCCCAAACCAGGAAGGAGCCACCCTGGGCAGCCTTGGGGGTGGGCAATGCTAGCAGGGGACTGTCAGGGGACACAGGTGAGTTATGGCTGCAGGTGAGGTGATGAATGCAGAGTCCCATTCATTCATTCATTCTCCAGGGGGCCATGGGACACTGGAAGAGTCTGTGAGGATGCTGATTTATGGTGGGGGCTTTGTACCATGTATTATTGCTGTACCTCCACAGAGGGTAAAAACTAGGTCAGCCATACAGGCAATCGGTCACATCCATGTGACCAGCCCCCAGTAAAAACTCCGAACAGCAAGGCTCTGGCAAGCTTGTCTGGGTGGCAATACTTGGTGTATGCTGTCACTCATCCTTGCTGCAGGCATTAAGCATTTTCTGTACGACTTCACTGGGAAAGGTCACCTGGAACCCCATACATGGTCTCTTCTGGATCCTGCCCTATGAACCTTTTTCTTTTGTTGATTTTTATTTATTTATTTGAGACAGTCTCACTCTGTCACCCGGGCTGGAGTGCAATGGCGCAATGTCAGCTAACTGCGCCTGGCCATCTCCAGTTTTATTTCTTTTTTTTTTTTTTTTTTGAGACGGAGTTTCGCTCTTGTTACCCAGGCTGGAGTGCAATGGCGCGATCTCGGCTCACCGCAACCTCCGCCTCCGGGGTTCAGGCAATTCTCCTGCCTCAGCCTCCTGAGTAGCTGGGATTACAGGCACGCGCCACCATGCCCAGCTGATTTTTTGTATTTTTAGTAGAGACGGGGTTTCACCATGTTGACCAGGATGGTCTCGATCTCTTGACCTTGTGATCCACCCGCCTCGGCCTCCCAAAGTGCTGGGATTACAGGCGTGAGCCACCGCGCCCGGCCTCCAGTTTTATTTCTAATTGACTTCATTTGAATCTTCTTTTCTTGGTTAATCTAGCTAATGGTCTATCAATTTTGTTTCTAATTTCCAAGAACCAGCTTTCTGTTTCATTGATTTCTGTATTTTTTGTTTCAGTTTCATTTAGTTCTGCTCTGATCTTTGTTACCTCTCTTCTTTTGCTAGCTTTGGGTTTAGTTTGTTCTTGTTTCTCTAGTTCCTTGAGATGTGACATTAGGTTGTCAATTTGTGATCTTTCAGGCTTTTTTTGTTGTTGTTGTTGTTGTTGTTGTTGAGACAGAGTCTTGTTCTGTTGCCCAGGCTGGAGTGTAGTGCTGCGATCTTGGCTCACTGCAACCTCTGCTTCCTGGGTTCAAGCGATTCTCCTGCCTCACCCTCCCAAGTAGCTGGGATTACAGGCGCCTGACACCATGCCGGGCTAATCTTTGTATTTTTAGTAGAGACGGGGTATCGCCATGTTGGCCAGGCTGGTCTCGAACTCCTGACCTCAGGTGATCCCCCCTCGGCCTCCCAAAGTGCTGAGATTACAGGTGTGAGCCACTGTGCCTGGTGTTAGACATTTTGATACAGGCATTGAGTGCTATAAAGTTTCCTGTTAGCACTGCTTTTGCTGTATTCCAGAGGTTTTGGTAACTTGTATCACTATTACAGTTTATTTCAAAGAATTTTTAAATTTCCATCTCGATTTCATTGTTAACCCCCAAATCATTCAGGAGCAGATTGTTTAATTTCCATGATTTGTATAGTTTTGAGGGTCCCTTTTGTAGTTGATTTCTAGTTTTATTCCACTGTGGTCTGAGAAGATGCTTGTTATGATTTTGATTTTTAATTTGTTGAGACTTGTTTGGTGGCCTGTCAGATGGTATCTTGGAGACTGTTCCATGTGCTGATGAGGAGAATGTATTTTCTGCAGTTCTTGGGAAGAATTTTCTGTAAATATCTGTAATCTGTTCCATTTGTTCTAGAGTGTAGTTCTATTCATTTTTTTTTTTTTTTTTGAGACAAATTCTTGCTCTGTCACATAGGCTGGAGTGCAGTGGCATGATCTGGGCTCACTGCAATCTCTACCTCCTGGGTTCAAGTGATTCTCCTGTCTCAGCCTCCTGAGTAGCTGGGATTACAGGGGTGCACCACCATGCTCAGCTAATTTTTGTATTTCTAATAGAAATAGGGTTTCACCATGTTTGCTAGGCTAATCTTGAACTCCTGACCTCAAGTGATCCACCTGCCTCGGCCTCCCAAAGTGCTGGGATTACAGGTGTGAGTCACCACAGCTGGCCAAGGATGTAATTTTAATTTTTTTTTGAGACAGTGTCTTGCGTCTTGCTCTTTCATCCAGGCTGGAGTGCAGTGGCACGATCTTGGCTCACTGCAATCTCTGCCTCCTGGGTAGCTGGGATTATAGATGTATACCACTAGGTCTGGCTAATTTTTTGTATTTTTAGTGGAGACGGGGTTTTGCCATGTTGGCCAGGCTGGTCTCGAACTCCTGCCCTCAAGTTATCTGCCCACCTTGGCCTCCCAAAGTGCTGGGATTACAGGCGTGAGCCACCGCGCTCGGCCTGATTTTAATGTTCATAGTTTACTGGAGCCTAATTCAGCTCTTGGTGCTTTCAGGGGTGAAGATTCTGTATGAGTTCCTTGGTTAGGGAGGGTCTGTGTGTGCTGCCTTTCTCAGCCGCCGGTTGTAGCAGCAGTGTGCTCAGTGTATGAGCAAGTTCACTGTCTCCTGTGGGGTTGGAATGGAAGAGGTATTTTTAAGCTTACCTCATTCCACTGTGGTGCGCACTTTTTAATTAATTTATCTTTTTCCCCAGTATTTGATTCACTGGGTTGAATAGTTAAGGCTTCAGGTCGGTAGGGGAGGGTCCCTGGGTAGAAAAGAGCTGTGGCTGAAGCAGTGGGTAAAGGCAGTACCCACTGGCAAGCCGAGGCCCCAGCCTTGACACAGGTGACCTGGGGAGCTCTTAGTGACATGCACTGCAGTTTGTTTTTGACAGGATTTCAATCTATCTCCCAGGCTGGATGGTGCACAGGGGTGTGATCACAGATCGCCGTGGCCTTGACTTCCCTGGCTCAAGTGCTCCTCTTGCTTCAGTCTCCCAAGTAGCTGGGATCACTGGCACATGCCACTGCGCCTGGGTAATTTTTGTTTTCTGTAGAGTTGGGGACCCCCTTTGTTGCTCAGGCTAGTCTCCAACTCCTGGCCTCAAGGGATTCTCCAACCTTGGCCTCTCAAAATGCTGAGATGACAGCCACAAGCCACCACGCCTGGCCATTTCCTTCCTTGTACTAATTTTGCCTTTTCTCCTTCCTTGTTCCTTGGGGTGCATTGTTTTTTGTTTGTTTTGAGACACAGTCTCGCTCTGTTGCCCAGGCTAGAGTGCAGTGGCACGGTTTCAGTGCATTGCAACCTCTGCCTCCCAGGTTCAAGCGATTCTCCTACCTCAGCCTCCTGAGTAGCTGGGATTATAGGCTTGTGCCACCATGCCCGGCTAATTTTTGTATTTTTAGTAGAGATGGGGTTTCACCATGTTGGCCAGGCTGGTCTCAAACCCCTGACCTCAGGTGATCTGCCCACCTTGGGCTCCCACCTCAGGTGGTCCGCCTGCCCGCTAGAATTACAGGAGTGAGCCAACATGCCCCTCCAGGGGTGCATTCTTATACTGTATATTTGAATTCTATTTTTTTGAAGTAGGCATTTGTTGTTATAAACTTCACTCCTGGCACAGCTTTTGCTGTATCTCACAGGTTTTGGTAGGTTGTATTTCCATCTTCATTTCTATAAAAAACATTTTTTTTTTAGACGGAGTCTCACTCTGTCGCCCAGGCTGGAGTGCAGTGGCGTGGTCTCAGCTCACTGCAACCGCCACCTTCCAGGTTCAAGCGATTCTCCTGCCTCAGCCTCCCAAGTAGCTGGGACTACAGGTATGCACCACCACGCCCGGAATTTTTTTTTTTTTTTTTTTTTTTTTTTTTTTTTTAGTAGAGATGGGTTTTACCATGTTGGCCAGACTAGTCTCCAACGCCTGATCTCAGGTGATCTGCCCGTCTTACCTCCCAAAATGCCGGGGTTACAGGCGTGAGCCACCACTCCTGGCCTCAAGAAACATCTTGATATTCCTCTTAATTTCTTCCTTGACCCAGAGGTCACTCAGGGGCATGTTGTTTAATTTCCACATATTTGTACATCTTCTGAAGTTCCTCTTATTAATCACTTCTAGTTCCATTTCCATTGTGGTCTGAGAAGATGTTTAATAGGATTTCAACTTCTATAAATGTCAGATTTCATTTGAAGCCTAACATATGGTGTATCCTGGAGAATGTTTCATGTGCCAAAGGGAAGACTGCGTTCCTCAGCTGTTGGACAGGGTGTCCTGCAAACATCTCTCAGGTCCCTTTAGTCTAAAATGCAGTCGAAATCCAAAGTTTTGGCCGGGCACGGCGGCTCACGCCTGTAATCCCAGCATTTTGGGAAGCCAAGGCAGGTGGATCACCTGAGGTCAGGAGTTCAAGACCAGCCTGGCCAACATGGTGAGACCCCCATCTCTACTAAAAATACAAAAATAAGCTGGACATAGTGGTGCACGCCTGTAATCCCAGCTACTGGGAGGCTGAGGCAGGAGGATTGCTTGAACCGGGGAGGCAGAGGTTGCAGTGAGCCGAGATTGTGCCACTGCCCTCCAGCCTTGGCGACAGAGTGAGATGTCTCAAAAAAAAAAAAAAAAGTCCAAAGTTTCTTTGTGAATCTTCTGTCTAGACGATGTGTCTAATGCTGAGAGTGTGGGATCCACGTCTCCAGCTATGACTGTATTGGAGTCTGTCTCTGCCTTTACGTGTGCTCTAGTGCAACGTGCATATCGATTCAGTTCCATGAAGTTCTATCTTCTTGCTGAATTGATCCTTTCATCATTACACAATCACCTTTTTGTCTCTTTTCAGTGTTTTTGACTGAAAGTCTATTTTGTCTGGCCTAAGTACAGCTACCCCTGCCTGCTCTCTTGGTTTCTGTTTGCATGAAACATATTTTTCAATCCCTTTCAGTGAATATGTCTTTATAGGTGAGTGACTTTCTTATAGGTAGCATATAGTTGGGTTATAATTTTGTAAATCCATTTAGAAAAACATCAAATTACATCCATAAATGTGCACAATTATTATTTGCTAATTAGAAATACAAAATGTGGTAAAATACACATAACATAAATGTACGACTTTAACACCCCCCTTTTGTTTTGTGATGGAGGACCACTCTGTTGCTCAGGCTGGAGTGCAGTGGTGTGATCTTAGCTCACTGCAACCTCCGCCTCCTGGACTTAATCAATTCTCATGTCTCAGCCTCCCAAGTACCTGGGACTACAAGTGAGCAACACCACGCCCAGCTAATTTTTGCATTGTGAGTAGAGATGGGGTTTCACCATGTTGGCTAGGCTGGTCTCAAACTCCTGACCTCAGGTGATCCACCTGCCTCAGCCTCCCAAAGTGCTGGGATTATTGGCATGAGCCACTGTGCCTGGCCACAATAGAGTCTTCAAAGATACAGAATACAAGTATTCACACCATCACAGCTCCCATCGATGGGAAAACTGATGTTGG